CAGCCCTGAAAATCTTAGTAATATGCCCTCTAACAAGATACTTGCCCTGGTTTGCATTGCCTTGACCTCCAAACTGCAGGCTTGCTTGTTGTTCCTAAAGTATTTAAAAGTAGAATTGGAGGCAGAGCCTTCAGCTTTCACTGAGCTTTTATTCTCTTCTGTGGAACCAGCTTCCAGTTTGGATTCAGGAGACAGACACTATCTCCAAAGGCTTAAAACTTTAATTTTTGGGGCTGGATCAGGTGACCCTGACTCCTCCCTTAGTTATGCTGCAATAGGTGCAGGCTGCTGGGGGAGTCCCATGATGCAGTGAGTGCTTCTTTTTTAGTCACCTTTCTCACTCACTATGTGTTAACAGACCTCTCTGCATTGAATCATACTTGTTATTAATCTTTGACTCTCTTCCACTGCATGTCTTTTATCCTGTCTTCCTCCCCTCACCCAAACCGGTCAGATGGCCGCCCCTCTGCCTGGTTCTGCTGGAGGTTTCTTCCTGTTAAACAGGGGTTTTTCCTTACCACTGTCACCAATGCGCTTGCTCATAGGAAGTCATGTGATTGTTGGGGTTTTCTCTGTTGTATTATTGTATGGTCAACATTGCAATATAAAGTGCCTTGAGGCAACTCCTGTTGTGATTTGTCTCTGTATAAATAAAATTGAATTGAGTTGGGTTCCTGCTTTGTTTTTATAGTTGTTCTGTTGATGTGTTTTAGTTTTTGTGTTGTTTGTGGATATTAAACTCCAGTATTTGAAGTTGTCAACTTGACCTCATTACAGTTCCAACATGCTTCACATCTAATTGTTTCATTTCCTGTTATACTTTGACAGTTTTCCCCTGTGTCTCTCTGTCTGATTATCATCACCCATGTCTTGTTCCCCTCCTCTTTCTAACCTATAATTGGCTTGGATTAGTGATTTTTTTTTTTTTAATTTTTTGTTTAACAAACATTCTGCTTTCTGTGTTTGTATTTGATCCTAACTTCTACATTCAACCTGATGTTTTCTGATGTTGTGTTTTGGGTCCTTGTCTTGGTTTTCTAATTCTGGGTTATGAGGTAGATTTTATTATACAGGCTGAAAAACCCTCTGTTTCCTTTATGTGCCTGTGTCTGTTTATTCGTTCAGTCTCATTTTTCCTTTGGTTATTTCTTGGTTTACTTGTTTTACTGTGTGTAGTTGTGTCCGCCTTTTGCCTTCTTTGTGATTGTTTCCCTCTTTGTCATGTTTCATAATTATTCTCTGCATTTTTAATCATTGTTCTTTGTCATATCCAGTGTTGGGGAGTAACGGAATACATGTACCGCCGTTACGTATTTAAAATACAAAATATGAGTAACTGTATTCCGTTACAGTTACCGTTT